GTGTGTGCGTGTGTGTGTTGTCCTCCCTCCCCCCCCCCCCCCGTTGTCGCATAATTTCAAATTTTGAGAGTTTTACGATGTTAGGACAGGTTTGACCGTACTTACGACTTCATAAAACATTTTCCTCTACGTTCGCATTAATTTCCCGTATAACTACTGAACTACCAATGGAACCTGAGTCCTAATTAAGTACCTAAGGGCGACATAACTCTTTAATTTCCTGCCGCGCCTTCACCTTGTTAAGTGTTCCCTATTTGACAATTGTGTACGAGTCTTCGCCTAAACGCTACAAAAGCACCTAAGTTTTCAGCATTATTAATGTTTTACTCCTCTGGCTAGACTAGCCTCGTTGACACTGTTTATTAGGTTGGCTTTGTCGCCTGTTCCTGATAAAATTTTACGCGAATAGGTCTTTTGCCAAACCTGTGACAATGCACGTCTTCTTTGTAAAGATAATTTCTTTCTAATATGTTAACGACAGAAAAATACGAAATTATCGTGATTGACTTAACATAAGTTTAGTTAATAAAAACCATATAATCACATTAACTCTGTTCCGAAAATCACTGTTTAATACATAACGAAGTTAATATACATTTTTTTTTTAGTTATTTTTAATTTTTTTTTTCAGATTAACTATAAACCGGAGTTTAGTAGATCCGACCGCGGGGGGGGACGCTAGAAACCTACGGACCCCCGTGGCGGGAGGGCGTGAACCCCTTGGTGACGGAGATAGCGAGCCAAGTACAAAGTGGCGCCGACAGTCGACAAATGAGGACAGGGTAGTTGTTCTGCGACCTCTCCCGTCCCCGATATAGGTTACGTTTATGAACCATCTATGTGGATGTTGTTTGTTAATGTGTATAAATATGCACTAAATTAACATATGTGCAAGTTTTACTGCTTCATTGCTGTATGACTATGCCAATCATTTGGTACAAGTTACGAAACTGTTCAGACGTCTGTTCTCGTCCGCTTCTGGGAAAATTTTTACACATCAAAAGACTTAGCCTCTAGCGCTAACAAGTCCTATTTGGTTGCTGACATCGACCGGTCAGGTTTGGTGTTGGTACCGTATGTCGCAGTTTTACGCTCATTCACGAAATTGTGATCTTGACGTCTCCAGCGCATATGGCGATTTGGCGGTTGCCCTTTTCATGGGCGAAACTGAAACGTCCTATTGTTAGACAAGAAAATAAAGCAGGTAGTCTTTTCACTCAAAAGCTAGCGTGTCGCCTACTGGTAAATATTGGTTATCTTAGACGCACCCTGAGAGTCGAAGAGGGTACTATCATTCGAAACGAGCGTGCTATGCGTACTTCATATTGTATAGCGATGTTCACGACTAAAATTTGGAACCCAAATCTGAACAAAACAATCCATAGTTAAGAGAGCAGAGCAGATAGTATATAGAACATTCTCAAGACACAGATCGCTGGATGGATTAACGGATGTTGTCTGTTGCGCTCTGATGAAGAGAGTACAGGCTCACAGGTTACGAAATAAGGTTGACCGTGCATTGGGACGTTTGGTACGTAACCCAGGAGTTGCGACTCGAGTCAGTAGGGTTCTCGGAACATAAGAGGTTCTACAATGTGATAGATATTGATTAGGATGATAGAGGAGATAGAGAGATAGATAAGTTCTATGATAGTGAGATGAGAGAGAGATATGCATAGGGATCTCACTTGAGCGTCATCCCGGTTTACGCAACGATATCGTTGTGCATAGCAAATGCGACGTAAAGATACTCCATTTATAATGGCGACCACTATGACCATATTTACCGTTACATAAACCGCTAAAAAGTTAGCTGGAAGGATAACTGTAATACAATGGTTGTTGTCTTCACGCATGGTGGATTGGTTGGAAGTCCTTTTCAGTGCCTGAGCCCCTGAAATTCTATGCAATACGCTTTTTTTCAATGTATGTTGAGGTTTTTTGTTCGACGCGCATTTACCATGTGCACCGCCCAAGATCACCAACTTTAGACCTATTGTGTCTAATTGATACACCGAGGACAGGTTTTAATTTGGCCAAAATAGGAAAAATCTGAAAGCTCGACATTACATTAAGATAACAAAGATGACGCAGATCTAACGACATACGTGAAATACGGCCGGATTTGGTCTGGCGGCGCGACATGTTTGTCGACGCTAAGCGGGAACGATATCCTTGCCGTTCGTAGCTGTCGTGCTAGTGTGGGATAGGACAACCGAAGGGGAGGACCGAAGACAGGTAGAATTCAAAATAGACATACAAAAAATTTAGCCGAATTGACCGTCCAAGGCGGGAGACATGGTCCAAACGGCAATCGGCCATTAACGTGCTACGACGACTACGATAACCGGCGGCTATACCATAGGCGCGCTAAAGTGAGCAATTATCAAACTAGCACGAGATATTTGGCGGGGCTAGTCGCTCTCGACTAGACTAGCTATACCCTCGTATTTGGCTGTCCTGCTTCACTTCAGCATTGGCCGTGCGCCCTCTTCGTAGTCCTAGTCGACGAGCTCAGACTGGACTTCGGGGCGGGTGAGCAAATCGCGCGACGTACTCTTTGAATGCCGACAGTCCTTCTTTTTCTCCCCTTCCTTTGTTCTTCCTAGGCGAGAGGGCACAATCATAAGTTTCTAAATTAGCATTTAGAAACTTATTACATCGGAAGTAGATGATGTTCATGCAAATAGCCACTTACCATGCTTTATACAACGAACACCTTAGTACAATAACTTTTTAAGCTAGACTAAAACTAGACAATCAATGATGTTGACTTCGTTTATATGCTTTGACTCGGGGAATTGTCCCCCCCCCCCCCCCCCCCCCCCCCCCGCCCCCCCCCCCCCCCCCCCCCCCCCTATGCAAATGTTGTAGTCGGTATAGGCAGATCAGGCCATGCAATGGACGGATTGCTTTGAGACGTGGTTAAGAATAATAATAATTAGCTTTGTACGTGCCATTCAAAGTAAACAGGCCATTTTTTTAACATACAACAGGGTATCTGAAATACGACGGAAAATAGATAGAATACACACGAAATAGATAATAACATTATAATATAAAATGAATATTCAATCTCCAAACGACACTGGGAAGCCATTTGGAGACGAAAAATTTTACACGCATATATGTTATTTCACCTAACCTAACCTATTATTTCGTCGCGCGTCACATAAGCGGTACTGGTGTCTGTCAACACCAAAACCATGAACAATTGAAAGACAGCATCAAAGCTTTGTCTATACTCCCTCGACACTCGAGGACTCACGATGTCGATTGCCGACTACAAAGCCTGTACAACGCGTCAAGAGGATTTCTTAAGGTTTTCCTTATGGAAAGGCATATTCACTTTACTGACACCCACATAAACACCTTACGACTCAACAAAACCACCTTTACGACTCACAAAATCACTTACGACTCACAAAGGACTTGTACCGACTCACCAAAACACCGTTACGACGTCACTACAAGAGGACTTTACGACACCAACGAAGCACTTTACGACATCGCAATAGACTTCCGCACCACAAAGGTCTTTACGACACCAAAAGGACTTTCGACACCGCGCGGCGACAAAACCTTCGAACGGAAATTCCGTATGGCATTATGGAAGTTAATGTCAATATAGAAAGACGAGGGCGAAGTGACGTTGTAAAATGGTAGCGTCGATCGAGCTATTGTTTGACTTTTTTCAATTTACGATATAAAGTAAGGTTGTTGTACATACTAGCAAGAATTAAAATCCCTTAGGTCAATTCTTCTGTCTTGTAAAATTACCAGGGGGAATGAAGATGAGGTGATGTCCAAGTCTCATTTTACCACTGGAAAATCAATGAGAGTGTCTACACCTACTACTACACTTTATTTAGTTCCAATTTAGTCTGAAATCAAGGTGGGACCTCATTTAGGTGGTTCGATGGGAGTCATATGTTTCGTAAGTTTGATCGCGTGGAAATGGGTCGAAACTCTTGTGAAAGTACAGTTAGTAATATTTTGTAGTATATATAAAAGGACTTTACCTGTAGCGTGTACTGATTGAAAATGACAGGTCGCTGAACTCATGTAAAACTACGGTAAAAGAAAACATGCAAATGAACTCGTTGAGAATCTTACGTCTCAGGATTGACATTTTAAATCTAACGTCATGAAGGGACGAGGTGTGTGTCTTCTAACTGTTATTCATCTGATACTGAAAATGAAGAATTGTAGACTCACAAGTCGAATAAACCTGTTACTCGAGCGACAATCGACCGTTGTATTTCGTCAATTTGAACCCTTTTCGTGATCAATGTAACCATTTCCATATACACAAAAGATCCTGTGAAATTATCGATTAATAACGGGGGGGGCAACTTCCAACAGGAGTCATTTGGGGGGGCTCTTGGGAAAAAAGGTTGGGAACCACTGGATTAGAGCGATGTAAATACTATGGTAGACTACAACAAAATGAACATATTTTATCGGGATTTAATTATAATACACGTTTCAAAATGATGCCGAAGTAACAACATGCTGATACCGGTTAGTAAAAAACCATGAATTAATGCTTTGACAAGTCTGCAGACAAGACCTTTTCAAATGCGTGTTTGCTGAATGGAGATCGGATCGATCGGGATAAACTAACCTGTAGCTGCTCCGTCCCCACTCAAAACATGATACAGACATAAATAAAGCAGCGAAACAGACAGTCTGTGGTTTGTTCATGTTTAACTTTTGTCCAGTTTCTGAACAGATATGAGGAGCTGTGAGCTCTGTGTGCTAACAGCTAACGGCTGATGTTTAGGGACATATTGCGCTGTCAGATGCTGACCAATCACGAAGCGTCAATTCTTGACTGGCAGCAAAAACCACCAATCACAGCAGTGCTTCTCTGGCTGGCTCTGTCCAATCACAAACAAGAAGGGTTCTCCCTAAAGGAATACCCTTTCCGTATAAGTTGAAATGCTGTGGTGTTTCCTGAAATGCTGTTTTGACTTGCACTTCAGGGCCACCGTAGGTATTTGTTACTTTATGGCAAGTGACATCCTCATTTAAATATGCAACAATGTTATCGCATATTTTCTTGAAATCCTGCCACCCTTCTGGGCAACTTAAATTACAATAATACAAGATAATTAAATAGTTGATTTGTATTTGGTATCAACAATCTGAAATCTGCAAAGTAACTAGTTACTAATACTGTCAGGAAAAGTGCAATATTGGCTTTAAAGATGAAAAGCTAGAAATACTAGTAGCTAGAAATACTAGCAAAATGTACAGTACAGTTCTTCAGTAAATATTAGGTTCCAACACTGTAGCATATTCCATGAGTTCAAACGACTGCTGATTTTTTTTATTGCAAAAAAACGGCTTGATTTATATTGTGTTAACAATAATGTTGAAACATTGCCACTGTCTGGTAATACAAAAAGGAAACAACAACAGATCACATTTATAGTATTTGAAGCTTTTCTTAGTACAAAAACTTGAGTTTTGATCATGTTCCGACTATTCTTTGTTGTGCCTCAGCTCTCAGTGTGCAGCAGGAGTGGGGCTCCAGCCTCAATGAGAGGACCCCCTCCCCCATCAAGGAGGAGGAGCTGTGGCAAGAGGAGAAGCCCCAGACTGTGGAGCAGAACAACGTCACCTTCCTGTTGTTCCAGAGTGGAGAAGTGGGAAACAAGCAGGACAACGAGCACCTGAACTCAGACCCCGACACCCATTCAGGCACCTTGTTGCAGACCTATCCCGAGCCGGAGGCGGCCCCTGGAATTTCAGATGCAGCTTCAGGTAACGGCCTGCTGGACAGTGTGGACCTGGACTTACCGCAGTCTGAGGTGGTGGACTCGTACATCTGCACCATCTGCGGCCGTGCTTTCGCGCAGCGAGGACACTGGGCCAAACACGTGCAGGTGCACCGCAAGGCAGAGAACAAATTGGACAAGTCGTACACGTGTGACATCTGTGGAAAGAAACTCACACGCTTTGACGGGTATCAGAAACACTTGAGAATTCACACGGGTGAGAAGCCATACTGCTGCAATGAATGTGGGCGCAGATTCAGCGACAACTCCAATTACAAACGACACATTCGCACGCACATGGGACAGAAGGTGCAGCCGAGCTGAGGCCCAGGCGCACGGAGGATACAAACTCATGACACTTGCAACAACACAGGCAATACATGTCCACAGTCATTTGGATGAATATGAAAACTCTTGTGTTTATTAATGCCCTTCCTCCACCGATTTTAACTATGCCCCTCTAAAAGCTTTGCTTTATAAAAGCCAGAACAAATGAAAAGTATGTGTTCCACATTCGAAAGATTTTTTTATTTAACTCGGAGTGTCCGCGGGGTCTTAAAAAGTATTGAACGTTGATAAATCTATTTAGCGAAAATTAAGGCTATTAAAAAGTATTAAAGGGCATTTTCCATAAATAGATTTATCAACGTTCAATACTTTTTAAGACCCCGCGGACACTCCGAGTTAANTTCACTGGGGAGCCTGCACAAAGTTAAGAAATATCAGTGAAGAGATACAAAAGTGAATTGTATAATCTCAATACTGTTTAAAAGCATTATACGGCATGAAGTTGGACTTTGTAACAAACCCTTCCACAGCTTCTCTGAAGTCTTTGGTCATAAAAAGCACCTGCAGCACACTGTTCAGGTAACATGTTGACCCTTGGTTTTCCAAGCCATGGTACTTAATGGCTGTTGGAGGAAAATGCNGGCTCCCCAGTGAAAATACTGAGCATATTGATCTTCAACTTCAATCCCTGTTTGGTGACTTAAAAAGTCGTACAGCGAAAACCAAAGACATCACCAAGAAGCTGGGCATCCAAGACGGTACAGTGTAGTAGAGACACAGAGCCTTTGAAGAAGCCACCTGTGTGGACCAAACTACTATTTCAATAGTCAATAAGGTCCTTTCATTGCTTATTTTGAAAAAACAAAACAAAAAAACACAAATGTCTGCTCCTTCCCCCCTCAGTGCATGTAAACCAGGATGCTGAGTACTTTGAGAAGATTTTAGCTCTGACCAGTCCTGAAGCATCACAGGTGAAGATCATTTTGTATTGAAGGGATTTTGTATATTATTTTGAAAATACTTGTTTACGTGTCTGCATTGTTGTGATTTCAGCTCTTTCATGGACTGTTGACACACAAGACCATATGTTCTGCATGTGGTGCGGAGACGAGCACTGATAAGGGATGTTGGCATCTTCCTCTTGCATTGGTGGACAGTCAAAACTTTAACGTGGTAAGAATGTGACAGCCTGCAAACTTCACAGCATTTTCCTCTCACCATAGATATTAACTTAATATGCAATAATATGAATATTTGGGATCTATCAAAAACTCTGAGAATAGATTAGGCTGATCAGAATACCTGTCACAGAGCTGATTTCAGATGCACATGACACGAGTGCTTGTTATTAGGAGAAAGGCATTGAGGAGTATTTCAGAGCTTCACATTTAAACGGAGAAAACCAGATGTACTGCGACGAGTGTGATGACCGGTCTGATGCCACTACTGTGAGTAATGTCTACATGAACTCACCTTATATTGAAAGTGTACAGAAAGGTGTTATAACTGCATTATAATACATGCATATCTGTTTCTTTAGAAATGTGTAATAAAGCATCATCCCGAGGTTTTGATGCTGCTGCTGAAGAGGTTTGAGTTTGACTACCGTTGCATAACATATGTCAAAATCAACTGCACTGTGGACGTTCCCTGCACCCTGCAGATACCAGAGGTTTGTTTATAGTATATTTTATTTTTTCGGCCTTGACATATTTAATTCCTGATTCTCATGTCTGCCATGTTTTCCACTGGTGATCAGAATCAGCCCTATGAACTGTATGCGATGGTGGAACATTCTGGAGATCTCAGAAGTGGACATTACATTGCCACAATCAAATCTGAGGATGATGGGAGATGGTACAGCTTCAATGATAGATGGGTCACAGAGGTAAGACCGATCACTTTAACTTCAATGGTGTTAAGACTTACATATACAGGTCTGAAAAAACAAATTCATCATTTTATGTTTGGTTATTGTTTTTATCAACAGCTTGACTCCCAGCCATTCCAGTCGGATAAAGTTGAGAAGTACGTTAGATTTTTGCTCCCACTCTCAAACCCAATTTGTTATATTTCCACCCTTACTGATGGGTGAAAACTATAGAAAAGCAATTCAATTTACGAATATCAAGTGTATCTCCAAATATCTACAGATATGTCCACGCACAGACATTTATCCATACAGACATGCATGCACCAATGCACTCCTTTTATAAACATCGCACAAAAAGTAAGAATGTGTGTTTGGTAGAAGATTTCTATGTTGCTTCTTGGGAATAAATCTTACACTGTTGGAAAGCCTGTTTATTTACCTTTCACAACATTTGTGAGGAACATGCATTTGTGGGATGAGCAGCAGAGCTGAGTATGTCGGTTGCGGCCATGAAAAATGTGACAAATCTTCTCTGCCAATGCCAACAGCTTTTTATTGCTGATGAATCTTGATTGGTGGATTGGATGATTGAAGTGAAATAAAACAAGAAATATTGGCAATTTATTAATTCAAGGGCAGTCATGGCAGGCCTCCTGGCTGCCCTATCAGACCGGAGATTGGCTGCATGCAATCTGTTCTGGATTGTCTGGGCAGAGAGCCTTCAAGATTTGCAAACCTCGACTGCAAATCTGTAGAAGACTGCCTACGGTTCCCAAGGATGAGGAAAGGGTCTCCTTGGGACGCCCGCTTCGCGGCCTGTCACTGCCTTCAGTTTGCAATAATCTACCTGACACACATTTCCTTACTTTTTGTGCTTAGTTCATATTTTATTTTATATATATTTTTTTTTTTCAGTATCTGCCTAAAAATAGTACCTCAAATAAACACATTTTTAACAGAAAGCCCCTGTATAAAACACAAGCCATACATTTGCATACACATACATTTTAATTTGAAAATGACCATACTTTCTTCCACATTCCTCTCTCTAGATCCAGCAGCGCTTATCTTCTGTTTTACAGAAAAGAGAAAGGTAAGATGGCAAACATGTTCATTATGCTCACTGATGTGCAGTGTTCAGATTTCTTACCTAAACTAATTCACGCTTTTCTTCCAGTGCCTGCTGCAGGTACTCAGGACCAGAGTCCAGCTAAGAGGAGAGAGAGAGAGGAGGCCGAGGGGACAGCCGAAGAGGGCAAAGACGCTGCAGCCACTGCTTTCATCGACAGAGATGAAGGAAGAGGGATTAAAGACAAAGCCAGAGTTACGTCTAGAAAACCAGGCCTATCACCTGACATCTCTAATGTAGAGTCTAAGGAGGGTCAACAGAAAATGTGGCAAGCTTATGGCGCTGATGTGGAGCAACAGGGAGATGGGTTGAGGACAGAAACAGATGTTGAGGTAGATAAGAAAGGAAAAACTGATCCATTCCCTCTGATAGAGGATAGAAGAGTTGATGGTCGAAAACAGAACATGTCAGAAGACCGTCAGGGGATTGAAGCTAGAAGGAGAAGGGAGGATAGGAGGGATATAGAGGGAGCCAAGGAACAAAAGAGAGGAGATGACAAACATGTACAAAGGACAGAAACATCTATGACAGAGGATCAGGACAGGAGAGGGTTGGATGATGTTAGACAGCAGAAAACAAGTGTTCCACATGTAACACCTGAAGATGTTGATGAGGAAAGGCCAGCCAAAGAGCAGGAACGTAAACCTTTTCCAAACAGAGGGGACTCTTCTCGTAAACAGTTCATTGTGAAAACAATTGAGGAAGAAACTATAAAAACCTGCTCTGGCACACAAAGAAGTATTGAGACGAAGATCATTGTAATAAAGACCAGGGAGAAACCCGCACAACAGGAGCGCTTGTCATATAATTTTTCCGATATGAAGCTGAGTGAGCAACAGAAACCAGGGACCAAGAGACACATAGTGAATGTGCCAACCAGTGCAATCGATTCAAATGCAGAAAGAAAGCCAAAAGTCTCTGACACACAAGAGCAGGCTGCTGAAAATCAACATGCAATGAAAGAAATAGGTGAGGAAGAGATTATTAGTAGAGGCCATCATGCCCTAAAGGAGAAAAACGGAAAAGGAAAAAAAAAGAAAACAATTTCGTGTATTTGGAAACCGTGCAAACATGCAAACCAGACTTCAGAGTCGGATTGAGACTAAATGCTTTGTTCATTGTTCAGTGTGATTAAGTGCAACAGATTATAACAGAAAGAAGCAGAAGGGAAATGAATAGAAATGTAAAGGCACTATTTCACAGTGTATTCGAATCTCACTGAGACTCAAAGATCATACAATGTTTTTCTTTTGCTACAATTCTCTGTTCTATAGGTTTTGTTTTGAACGTGTGAATCTTCTTCAGAGATTTATAAATAGATGGCACTAAGTGTAAAATCTAAAGAAAAAAAATGTTCTCATTAATTTCTCATAAATATAAATCCATGTATCTTTAGCATTTTATTTGTGTTTGTTTTCCTATTTTACTAAGTACTCTACTATCTTAAATCAATAACGTGTTTTGCCGACTACAGTTATAAACTATTGCTGCAATGCCCTCTGACAAATGTCTTAGATGCTTTTTTCAACCAAACTATTGTAGTCCTTTGTGACATTTGTAGGAATTGCTGATGATTTTAACAAATAAAACATAAATGTGAAAGACATCATGCTTGTACATGCACTGTTTTTGTGGAAAGTTACAGGTTATGATGCTGCAGAGATTCCCTCATATTGTCCCATACAGGTTTATCTTTAAAACAATTTTCTAAAATCACAAAGAGTGAAACCAAAGAAAGAAAAACGTCAGGAAGGTCAACAGAAGAGGGCTCTATTGAAGACAATAGACATGAAACAGATAATATGTAAATAATGTTGTTGAAAAATATTTCTTGTAATAACAACCCCCGCCTGTCATACTGTTCCCCTCATTGCTCTACTTGTTTATTCTCAGATTAGATCATATTATAAATCCTTTGAAAGAACACTTTGTACCAGGACATATATCCCAGATATATAAAGCCTGACTCAATGCTTGTTAGTCAGAGAGAGGCTGATCATACCTTATCTAATCAGGGGCCGTATTCACAAAGGATCTTAGGGCTAAAAGTGGCTCCTAACTGGCGAATTTAGGAGAAACTCCTAAGCATAATGGGCGTGTCAGTCTTAAATTTAGGACTCCTTGTTTTATTCACTAAGAGCAATTCACAAAGTATTTTAGGCCTAAAAGTAGCACCTAAGTTTATTAGAGCTTAAAAGTCCTCGAGAGGACTCCTAACTCAGTAAGACCTATTCACAAAGAATCTGAAAATGGCTGCGAGACGAAATGTTTTGGAGACAATGGAAGACTGTGAATTGATCAAGAGATATAGGCTAAATCGTGAGGGTATCAAACTTGTTGTGGAATTAGTGCGGGATGCAATAACATCCCCGACTAACAGGAAATAAAATGTTTGGCAACACTACGATATTTAGCAACAGGGAAAATGCAACTTTGCAATGCCGACGATCTAAATCGTCGGCATTGCAAAGTTGCATTTTCCCTGTTGCTAAATATCGTAGTGTTGCCAAACATTTTATTTCCTGTTAGTCGGGGATGTTATTGCATCCCGCANAAAACACCACAGCATTTCACAAAACGCCACAGCATTTCAGAAAACACCACAGCATTTCAGAAAACACAACAGCATTTCACATTGGACGGAAAGGGTATTCCTTTAGGGAGAACCCTTCTTGTTTATGATTGGACAGAGCCAGCCAGAGAAGCACTGCTGTGATTGGTTGTTTTTGCTGCCAGTCAAGAAATGACGCTTCGTGATTGGTTAACGCCCGACAGCGCAATATGTCCCAACCCAACACATCAGCCGTTAGCACCTAGCACACACTCAGAGCTCACAGCTCCTCATATCTGTTCAGAAGCTGGACAAAAGTTAAACAAGTAAAAACCACAGACTGTCTACTGTATGTCATGGCGAAATACAGTCGCTGCTCATTATATTTATGTCTGTATCTGACGCTGATTGTCAGTAAGGGTGCACCGAATGGAATTCTTGACCGAAACCATACGAAAATAGGAAACAGTTGGCCGAAACCGAATGCGAAAGGCCCGAATAAGTCTGTCCTCTAAGTCAAAGTAGTAAGAAATGTATAAGATACAGTAAAAGTGAAAACTGGAACAAATCCAATCATTACAATTAATTACAATTTCAAGAATTCATGGCAATAAGGTGGTCTGTCGCTCATGAGGCATGTAAACAACATTTGTATCCATTTAGATAACGCGACAAGTACAATATGAATATGAACACTGTGGTCGCTGTCATTCCCCCCCCTATATGATAAACCCTGAGATGNTTGAGTGATGTACAATGACAATGGCATCCCGTGGAGGAATTCTGAAATGTTTTACCGTTACATCACAAAAACGCACAGCAGAACCAGACCCATGGAGCACCGGCCTCTTTATTTACTTACTCCTCTTCATCCCCTATGGGTAATAAGGCTGAGATGAGAACCCTCCATCGTATTTAGTCCTTAGCACTATGCTGCGCCTCTCCCCATGTATGGATGGGTACCGAGCCCCGGTATTAAACGGGCTCCGCCCGGGCCAGAATTATTAAAGACAGTGGTAACGTTAACCTCCGACGTTATCTGACTTTTTATCGGTACTGGAGACATTTAAAAAATATATGTCATATGTATTATTGCTACATAAACATTATATCGCAGTTTTAGTTTAGCCAACTCTGTTTCTAACATGCAATAAGACTACAACATGATGTATTTTCGAGCTTTCCAATCCAGACGAGATCTCTCTCTCCCGTCTGTGTGCGAGGGGGCGCGGCAGTTTGTAAAGGTCTCCTGACTGTGTTACAGTCATCCTGGTTGGTGGTTACTCTGGGTTCTGTCTTCAGTACAGAGTGTTGGATTTTTTTGTTAATTGGATGGGACTTGATTGGATTCAATATTAGAGTAATTTTCTAGTTTGTGTGTTTGTTTAAATATATTTGGCCTTTGTTCATGTGATTGACTGATTTACTCAAATAAAAAGGTTGATGAATTATCATCTAATGATTTGTATGATGTTTTTTTTATGTTAAAGATCACTTTGAATGATTTTAACTAATGATAATGTAGAAAAACAAATATTTTAAATTTGGGACGGTCCACATTAATTTCGGGACGGCTTAGATTGTATTTCGGGACGGTTCCGGGAGGATGGTGAAAAAAGTTAGTCGAGAGCCCTGGTTTAGAGTAATTGGAATGCAGGTAGATTGTGTTGCTTTTTAATGACTGTTTTTAAATACTTTTTTCTTAATGTCTTTCATTTTTGTAAAGCACTTTGAATTGCCTTTATTATATTATATTTGATGAAAACATTTAAATATTAAGAGTAGCCTACATACAAAATAGGGGGAAACTAGAAGGTCAATGATAGAAAATATCAAGAAGATACTGTAAATGATATCTAGAATAAAAAGAGGTGTCAATCAACAAAATCGACCGAGAGGGCCAGAGATATGGAAAATGCACCCAAATGACCCCAGAAGTGGGATTTTTTCTTCTAAATTTCTCTTAAAAGGTCAAATGTCACTTGTTTTGCATCAATCTTGATACAGGGTACTTATTATATGTTATGGTTTGGATTCCTAAAGCTATTAGTCTACTATCCCATCATTCAAGGGTGGTTTTCTTTTTTTGGACGGACACTATAATTTACATTTTTTTACTATGTTCAATCTGAATTTACTTTAAAACTATCTATATAGATTCTGACACTTCTACATCCAACTCACAAATGTAACCTTGCTTTGAGAAAAAATATTATTAATTTAACCCTTTTAGAAGTGAAGATATTGTCCTTTGTTCTGGGAATGTCATTTTTGAGCTTGAGACCTGAAAAACAGGCTCAGGGCTTAACAGGTTAAATTGACTACATTGAAATAATCCAACCTTAAGGAGCAGAACTTGATTGCTAATTTATTCATTCAAAGAAGAAGTCATTGCTACATCATGAACACACATTATACCAGTAGGACAGTATACATGTATTAATAGTGTATTATTTTCTAATAGATTCTAAGCCAGTTAGCAGCAGTGCCTAGCATAGCTGGAATACCTTGAAATATACAAAGATTTACAAATAGTGTTTACATGCTTTTCTTCCACAATTGCTTGATTTCCCAGGCCAATGCGCCAAAAGACTGAATGACTACTTGTAATACATCTTTTGCCAAGGAAAGGTATTTACATAATTAATGAGACTTATAGTCGGCGCTAATGAGCTTTATTTTCATTGCAGAGCTGATATATGCCAGCTTCAATCTAAATGATGGATGTTATAAAAACAGTAATCTTAAACATCCAAACAGCAGAAGCTACTGTAGCCAAAGATAATGTGGTGTTACACAGCAAGGTGTCTGAAGCGGCTTCTGGCTTCATCTGTCTATGTTAAATGAATTATTATTTATTATTATTAAAGGAAGGAAAAATTCCAGATAGGGGCCATGATGACGGTACACCTACGTAATTGGGTTTTTCTTAACCCTTAGGGAGCATTTTAAACCTGGAAGGAATCCTATCCAAGTCATAAAAATAGCTCACTCTGCTTTGAGGAACCTTCATGGGCATTTCAGACTGAAATGACAGTAGAACCTGCTCATATAAATTCGGGACAATGTCCAGGGAATCTGGTCTGGTAATTTTCCAGAATTTCCCTTTCATAAATAGTACATAACAGAAGACTGTCTGTGTCATATTTTTAATTTGTTCTCACTTTCTCGAAACATTCAATTTTGTTTAATCTTCAGGTGGTGCCCGGGTAGAGTGAAAAGAAGGCACAACATGGTGTGGATCACACAACGGTCATGTGGTTGTTTTGTTAAAAAACCAACGGTTCTCTTCCCGTGCCTTGAATATAAGATTTTGGTTGATTAGCCTTAACAAAGAAAAGTTCTAGAAATGTTGTTATGTTCCGGAAAGACATTTTCGATGGGGTCTTTTTGTAAATTACCCCTCTTTTTGAACCTTTGATGTTTGTTTCTCCTGCCTAATTGCAGCCCCAGTCACTGTAAATTCTCTGGACAATATCGGCTCTATTCACACGGGAGATAACACAAATATTGTACTAGGAAGATGAAGGGGTAATGTCAAATGATTGTCCAAATGATTCGGGCATTTGCATTCTCACATGCAACTATAGAACTATACCGATAGTGTTAAGATAATTTCAAGTTGGAGTGACAGTTTGTTAGGATCTAGACAAAAGCATGTTGTATTAACCCAAAATGTTGTCAAAAAAACTTGTCTTGTAACAAGACCTCAAACTATGCCTATGGAAAAGAGCCACAATGAAACAATAACTTCCTTCAAAATAACTTTCATTATTTTTACATTATATTTAATTCAATTATTTATTTTTTAATTCAAATTAGTTCTATACCGTACATTCCTTATTTGATGACCTTATTTCTCTTAAATTACTTTTTATGTGTAATCTTACTTGTCAATGAACCTGATTCTGATAATATATAATATAATGATTGTAATAATATCATGTCAGCACACTACTGCACTGGTAAAACCACATGGGAATGGTAGTTTTTAAATGACTACTTCTTTACCAGGTGATATTCAGGTCATATTAGGGAAGGTAACTTTTTGTTGTATC